CAGCAGGCCCAAGGGGTCAAAGGTCAAGGGGGGACAAGGGGGACTTCCTAAGGCTCTCAGGGGAGTGCCAGCCAGCCAGGCTGTTGTGCAAGCTCTGGGCTGGACCATGCAGGCAGACTGGCAGAGGAGCCACGCCTGGCCCAGCCCCCTCAGCCTATCCAGATATGTTCCCTGGAGCTGGAGTAGTGTCCTCTCTCCTCCAGGAAACCAGGACCCTGTCCCCCAAGGTAGCACTCCTGTCCCACGTCAGTGGCCATATTCTATTCTATATATAGAGGGCTTCCTCTCTCATACTCATTCTGAACCTCTCCATCCCAGATCCACCATGTTTTGAGAAACCGGAAAAACCTTCTCAAGTAAGCCTCTTTCTTCCAATTCCACTCTGATTCCCGATGTGGAGATCAGAGGGGTTTGTGAGGGAAGAACCATGCTAGGGCTCACAGGGTCCGGCCCTCGAGGAATGGGGACAGAATGAAGTGGAGGAGAAGCAAGCCAACAGGCTGTGTGGGCGCCAGGCCCCGGAGTAACTGTAGATGTGCTGACTGCTCTCCCTAAGCATCACGTGAGCCTCTCAAGGTCTGTTATGTTTATCCACATTTTACAGGTGAAGAAATTGAGGTTCTGAGGGTGTGATTAAACTGACAGCTGGTAAGTGGCAGAGCAGAGACTTGCACTTGCTCTTTCCAGATCACCTCCCCATCCCTCAGCTCAACCCACATGGCTGGAGATGGAGAGCAAGCACAGTAAGGGACCCAGGACTGTGTCAGGCTCCCAGTGGGCATGCGATCACTGCTGATTGATGCTCAATCTCATGGAGAAGGGTCGGGATCCTGGATGGAGCCTTGTGTCAGCCACCAATTTCTCCCCTTAGATTCAGCATCTGTAAAATCAGGAGGTGGGACTGGCAGCTCAGCGGCTTTCAAACTTGGGTCCCTGGGTGTCCTGACATCCCACAGAGACTGGGATGGGGCAGGAAAGGACAGTGAATAGGGGGGTTCTCTGCTCACCCCCAGCCCAGCTTCCACCAGGGAAGCTTGGCATATCAATTTCAGGTAATGGACAGACATAAGGGATGTTTTTATTTGAACAAGCGTCTCAGAGCACTCTATGGCCTCTAGCTGAGCTCTGCAGCTCTGACCTTCTGAGAACCGTGATCTAGTTTCAGGTCCTGAGCTGGAGAGAGAAGCCAGAGGATCTGGTGAGGGAAGTGGAGTAGACCATGTCTGGGCTTCTCGCCCTGTGGGAGGAAGCAGGTCAAGGTCAGAGCCATCAGGCGCCAGCAGAGGTGAGCTGGAGACACACAGCACCTGCCTCTGCACCTGGGAAACACAAATAGACCTTTGGCCACGGCAACCTGGAAACCAGAAGTAGCACCGACCTTTCTGAGGACCAAACCAGTGCCCCTTTCTCCTTTTTTGCCAGGCCTGCCCGGGATTGTTCCTGGTGGATTTCAGTTGCTGGTCACCAAACTGTGGTCACCCTAACCTACCATGACCTCACGTCTCCTACTGCTCAGCTCAAGGGCTACTTCAGGGTGAAAGCTGAGAAAAGGCTGAGAAAAGGCAAAGCAGCTCAGGGAGAGAAAAGCACCCAAATGCAAGAAGGCATTCAGCGAGCAGGGGCTAATTCCCTTGAAAGAACACTTGTGCCCCTTTTATGGGCTCCCTAGAGCAAAGCTTGCCCCTCTGCCTCAGTTTTCTCTTTGAATTGGGGCGTAAGAATGGTGTCCCTCTCCTGGCGGCTTCAGCATGTATGGCTCCCTGAATATCATCGTCTCCATGCTCCAGGCGGAGGAGAAAGCCAAGGGCTCTAGTGGCCTAAGAATCAGACTATCTAGCATCTTCCTTCTAGCTCACCGCCCACCCTGGGCCTGCCTCTGACCGCCATTCTCCCTCACCCTGCTGCGGGGCCCAGCCTCGCCCCACATAAGCAAAGCTGCCAGCAGGGTCCTTTGTGGGGCTGCTCCCGTGTGGCACTGCCTATGGGCCCCACCATGGGGCAACAGATGGACCTATGGTCTCTCCAGAACAATGGTGGGGGAGGGGCCCTGGCATCGCCTGCCCCAAACAGGAAGCGCTGCATGAGCTTCAAAGAACTGGCAGGGCCAAGGGGCTGAGTGGCTGGAGCCAGTGCCAGGATTGGCGGCTGCCTGAAGAGATGCCTGCCAGCCTCGGGATGCCCAGCCTGCAGTGGGGGTGGGGCTGCAGTGGCAAGGGCAGCTGGGTCTTGGGCAGAGGATGCTTTGCACCCTCAGTGCAGCAGCCTCTGACCTGGAAGCAGCCTGAGGGAAGGGGGTTCAGACACAAGGCTGTTTCCCGGCTCTGCCGCCACCTGCCAGCAGGGCTGCTGGTTCTTTCCCAGGCCACAGTGGGTCTGGCCCTCCAGCAAGTAACCATGAGGGGCAGGGCTGGCACCAAGCCTGCCGCCCACTCCCTGCCTCCTGCTCCCAGCTGCTCTGCTCAGAGCCTTTTCCTCTCCACTTCCTGTTCACACAGTGGGGGGGGCGGGAAGTGGAGGGAGGAAGTTGGGGGGAGGCGTGTAGGGGGGAACCCATTGAATAAAAGGAATTAACCGTTTCCCTCCTCTGACCTCTGGGAATTTCCGCCTGTGAAAGTGTCTCGAAGAATCTGCAGAGCTGAGGGAGTGGGGAGGAGGGGTGCCCCTCTTGGCCCCCACCCCCTTCCCCGGTGGTAGTAGTGGGGCCAGATAACTCCCTCTGGGCCCCCTAACCTCTTGTTTCCCTGGCGCCAGGGGGGCAACGCCAAGGGCAGCCTGGAGCCTGGTGGCCTCAGAGCCCCCTCCCAACCAATGGGGCTAGTGCGCCAGGCCTGCGACCCGAGCTCGGGGCGGGGGTTCAGAGCGGAGGGGGCGAGCGGGGTTTGAGCAGGAACTGCGAGAATCGGTGGTCCCAGGAAAATGAGCTTACACCCAGGCTGGCCAGGCACTGAGCCACACACCTTCCCTGCCAGAGCTGGTGCCCTTGGCCGGTCAACCATGGGGTACAAGGGCGGCGGGCGGGCCAGGCAAGCCTCAGACGCGGGGCGGGCACACCCTCCGGGGGCCACTCCCCCTGGAGCAGTAAAGGAGCTGGTAGGTTCGGGAAGCCAGTGGACAGCGCCCTCTAGTGCCGGCTGCCGACTCGGCCGGCGGCCCCCCGGGGCCCTCTCAAGGGCGGGCCTCAGGAAGCACCTGCTCCCCAGGACCAGTGGCCGCCCTGCATCTCCCCCAGGTGGCTTCCTTGTTTACAGGCCTCCTGCCCTGATCCCAGCGTCACTGCCTGTGGCCACTCCTCCTATTTCCAGAGACCGCTCCAGGAGCAGCTCATTCATCTTAGCCCCTGCCTACGCAGCTGCTCCCCTACCCCACCCCACCCCCTTCTGGCCCTCCCCCAGGCTTAGGGCCAAGGCCCTGAGGGCCTTCTCTCTCTCCTCTCCTCCAGGCCTTGCTTAGTTTCCAGGGATCTAATTGCTGTGGCTTCCCGTTGCCCTGACTCAACGGAACCCCATTCTGTCAGTGCCAGAGAAGCCTGGAGCCTTTTTTCCAGGAAAGAGGAAGTAGCCTAGGACCAGATGGGCAGGCTTAAGAGAGGACAGAAGGGGCAGGGGTGTCCCAGGCCGTCTTAGCCAAGTACCCTGGGAGGAGGGAGCAATAGGGCAGTGTTTGTTTAAGTAACATGTATCAAGCACTCATTATGTGCAAAGACAGAAGCCCCAAGCTGTTCTAAGTAAGCAAGTGACCATATCAGTGGTAGGCAGGGGTTTATACCTAATACTGACAGTGGGGAACAGTACCCTGAGACCTCTACTGGGCATATCTGGGTGTGAGGGGAGCATTAGACCACAGCGGGAGAGGAAGGGAGGAGAAGCCCTCCCAGTCTTCTTGGAACAAGGGAAAGGGAACAGGACTAGGATGCCCTCTACCCACCCAATGGGACCCTACCCCCATTTGCTCCCACTTTTGCTTCTGAGGGGAGATGGGGAATCTGAGGCTCATCAAAGGTGGGCAGCTTCCATCCCTGTCCCTTGCCAGAAGCCATGAAGAGACCCTGTTGTTCCAGAGGCTAGAAGAATCAGCAGGACAAGATTATCCTAGGACTGCATAAGGTAAGTATCTTGGAAGATGTTTAGGCTGCAGGGGCAAGAGAGAAGCCAGCAGTCACTAACCAGGTGCTTAACCCCAGCCTGATGCCAGAACACTCACTTGTTATTTTGGTCTATCAGCGGCTGATAGACCACACCCATAAAGCTGAGCAGTGGACTGTGAACACCAGTCCATGGAGCAAAGGGTGCTCAGCTGATGTTACAGGAAGGCCCTGCTCCAGGACTCCCCAAAGGCTCTAGCCACAACTAAAGAAGTGTAAGCTGGGAGGAGAGGCAGGTCACAGGAACTAGATGGGGAGAAAACTTCTCTCTCAAATGCCAGTGCAGTCTCACCTCCATGTTGGACCTCAACGTTATGGCTCAATGCCAGGCAGTGGTAGGGTAGTATCAAAACTGGGCAGAAGTTGGGAAGGCAGAGATCCAGGATGGCAAAATCTAGCAGGTATAAGGGCCAGTGGAGGAAGGAAGAATGGGGGGACTTAGATTTATGGTTAGGCAATGGAGATTCCCAGGAAACTCTTGGGACAGCTAGCGGGGAGGGGAACAGATCAAGGAAGCACCAGCCAACAAATTGACCTGAGAAGTCAGTGCCCCCAGCTGCCTAAGTGTGAAAGGTTCTGCAGAGAGCAGCACCACCTGCTGGCCAAAGAGAAGAACAGTCCCTGCTGTAAGACTTGGGAGGGTGGGCCCTAATTCCCAACTGAAGCCTGGAGTCAGAAAGGATAGCGTGGAGGGCAAAGAAGTGAGCAGAAAATGGCAAAATCTCCAAGCAAAGGAGGGAAAGCCAAGGCTTGAAAGCATACAGGACCCTGGCAGCCTCTCTGTGGCACCCCGGCCGCTCCTAGAGATTACTCAAACACCACTCAGCCCAGCGTCAACACAAAGCCATCAACTCGAGAGTCACCACGGCAGCGCAGACAGTTTAATGCTCTCTAACCCCAACACCATCTCCCACTGTCCTCCATGAGTCCCTCTGCCCCAGGGCACCCCTCACACTGGAGTCCCAGACAGTGTGCACAAGAGCATGCCCACCATCAGCACCACCTTTCCTCCCAGCCCATGCCCAGGATTTGAGGGCACTGTCTTTTCACTTCTGGGACCTAGGGGCGGACAGAAGAGAGGGCTTCTGAGGGAGCAGAGCCACAGAATGAAAAGGAAGAATGGTAGTGCCCCAGAGGGTGAAGAGGATGTGTGTGGGGAGTGAAAAGGAAATAAGAGCTGTTAGATGTGGGAGGGATGGTAATGGGGTCAGAATTCTGACTTCTCCAGGCTACGGCCCTCTATTGGGAAAGTAGGCTGACAGCCCAGCAAAACAGCAGCTCAAAGGTAGCTCTGAAGAACAACATGGGCAGCGGGCAGAATGTTCTCAGAGCTGATACCTCATGGGCAACAGCTATAATTCCACTCTCCCCGCCACAGTCCCAGCCCAGCAGCCTCCAGGAGACCAGGCACAGACAACACCATGGCCTTCCCAAGAAGGGACAAGTGATTGCCCCTCCTGCCTGCCCGCCTTTCAGGGCTGACACCTTCCTACAGCCAACTGAGGTGTTCCTCCTCATAGCGCTGGGGGTCGATGAAGGGCCGGTCAATAGAGCGGATCATCAGCTCCCCACAGTACACACACTCAGCAGCCACCAGTTCATCCAGGTCAGCCTTGAGCTGTTCCCTGCTGGGCCCCCCAGCAGCAGCGACCCCCTCAGCCTCCTTGGCCCGGGTAGAGCCCTTGGCAGGGGGTGGAGCAGCCCCCAGCTTTCGCTGCAGCTCCTCAAGCCGGGCCTGCTTGTAGGCTGGCAGGCCAGGCCGCACGGCTTGCAGCAGGCAGTCAGCATGGAACATGTGGCCACAGAGGAAGAGGTAAAAAGGGCGATTGAGCAAGGGGAAGTCGCAGGTGGCACATTTGTCCTGGGGCTCCACAGTGCCATAGCGGCCGCGCAGCTCCTGCAGGTCTCGCCGGATGCGCTGGGCACTGGCTGTGGCCTCTTCCATCTCCCGCTGCAGCTCTTGGATGTGGTGGTTGTAGGCCTTAAGCGAGCTGCAGATGGCCTCCTTGAAGTGGTCGATGGTGACGAAGTCAGGAAAGAAGGGCAGCACGTCCTCGATCTTGAGCAGGGGGCAGCTGGCCAGGCAGGCCATGGCTGTCTGCACATCCTCCTCCTCCTGCACCACGTGCCGTGCAATCTTCAGCCACAGCTTCTTGCGCAGCTCCTCGTCTTCCTCGGGCAAGTCAGCACACTGCTTGGCCAGGTCCACGTCCACCTGAGGGGAGACAGAGTGTTAGGGTCAAGCCCCCTCCCGACCCAAGACAGAGTCTGTGGGAGACAGAAGCCCAGGCAGAGGACCCATGGGCAGGATACCTGCACTACGGGCAGCATGTGAGGTGGGGCTCCTAGAGGCCAGGAAGAAACCTATCTCAGTAATGGGCCTGTCCCTGCCAGAAGTATACAAACACTGCTTATGAGGGTGGGGTTGCAATTTTAGTGAATTTAAAATTCACTGGGGAACATATTCAAAATACTGATTTGGGGGCCCTACCCACAGACATTCTGATTCAGTAAGTCCTGGGTTCAGACCCAGGAATTCACATTTTAAACAGCACTTTATATGATCCTGAGCAGGTGACAGTTCATGATTTGAGCAATGCAACTCAGCACCTCCCCTGATACATTTGTGGCTAGCACGTATGCAGAACTTACCTATGAGGTAAGTGCTGTAACATTGTCCCCATTTTGTGGCTGACTAATCTGAGGCAGAGAGGTTCAGAAACTAGCCTGAGGTCACATAGCTTAGTAAGCGGCAGAACCAGAATTCAAACATTGACTTCCGAGCCCATGTTCTTAACCACTACAACGCAGCACCTCTATGTGAGGGAAGCCAGCACTCCCTAACCACACTGCCCCCAAACCCTTCAGTATCTGAAGCTACTGCTCTCCAGGCCCCTCTCCTGGATGGTGTCAAGGCTCCCTAGCTCACCTGTAGGGCCAGGTCCACAGCCTCCTCATACAGCTCCAGGACCTTGTAGACGTGGACACAAGCGCGGTGGTGGCCATGCTCAGCGCAGAGCCGCAGTGCATACTTGAGGTCATAATGTACCCGGTGAGCGCTGGCCCCAGCCTGCTCGAGGTAGGCCAGCAGCGAGGCTGGCTGGCCTCGGGCATACAGCGACAGCAGGTAATTGTGAATGGCCTGCTCAGTCTCGCCCAGCACGTTCACGCAGAACTCCATGTAGCGGATGGCCTGGCTCACCTGCTGGGCCTCACCACCCTGGCTGTAGTTCACCAGGGCAGGGATGAGCTGCCGGGCATCCAGCCGGCTGCCCTGCTCAATCCAGGTATCCACCAACTGGCGGGGGATGTGACGGATGAGGATGGGCGAGAACTTGTAGAAGAGCTGGGGGTCACGGTGGCGGGCGAGCACGGCCAGGGCCTCCTCATAGGCCTCGTGCTGGCAGTGGTATGCCACCACCCGCTCGTAGTCCTGCATGATCACTGCAAAGTACACCATGTGCTCCGTGTCCCCATGGCTGGCGAGCAGCTCGTGGATGGAGGCCCGGCTGGCAAAGAGCCACTCCTTGTGGCGGGGGCTGCTGAGGAAGGCGCGGAAGCGCTCCCGTGTTTCCCGGTAGAGGGTCAGGGCCTCTGGGTCCCCCTGCAGGGCCCCGAGCCGGCTCAGATAGAGCTCCATCAGCCAGGTGGTAAGCAGCGTGGCCTGGGTGCGCTCAGCTGGCTTCAAACTGGCCAGTTTTCGCTGTAGGAACTCGGCCAGAGCCTCCTCTTGTCGGGCCTCCAGGAACTTGAGGGCAATCTCCTCAAAGTAGCTCTGAGTCAGGGCGTAGCAGCGGGCGCTCTCCAGGTAACGACGCTGGCGAAAGCAGAAGTCAGCCTCACGGGCCAGGACGGTGTCCAGGCAGTCAGGCCGCTCTCGACAGTACTCTTTGGCCAGGTCAAAGCGGTTCATGTCCAGGTAGGTGCGCCAGACATCCCGGGCCTCCCGCTGTACGTGGTAGCGGAAGACAGCCCGCTCGGTGTAGGCCCACAGGTGGCCCGTGGAGGAGTCCTTCACCATGTGCTTCAGAGGCCCAAACTTCTCCAGGAAGTGGTCCCGCAGCACCACCTGCCCTGTCAGCGTGCACACTGCCTCCACCCGGTCTGCCAGCAGCAGCAGGAAGTGGAACTGGGTCAGGACGATGGCCAGGGGTGGGCTGGCGCCAGGACCTACCCCGTCTGGGTACTCCCAGACCCGCTCCTCGCTCAGCAGGGAGTCAGGACGCCCGCAGTCCAGCGATCCGTACAGCACGCCATCCCCCATCATCCAGGCGAAGGCCCGGGGCGCAGAGCGCAACTTGGGGGTGTAGAAGGCCAACTCGCTGTAGCCTAGACTGCTGGGAAACTCACGGAATGGGGGTGGGTGGTCAGTGTAGGCAGCAAAGAGCCCTGAGAAGCCCTGGACCTCAGCTCCCTCAGCAGCTCGGCCTATGAACTGGAAGAGGCGCTGCCGAGTGGTGGCGATAACAAAGCCACGCCCTTCGGGGCCCCGCTCAGCCTCAAGGGAGCACACAGGTGCTGGACCCCCTTCTTCATTTAGCACGTACAATGGACGGAAGTAGAGATCCGGGGCGGGGCCAAAAAGCCCACCCTCGCTGGCTGAGATCTCTGCTTCGAAGATCTGGCCTTGGGCAGTGCCGACCAGGATGGGGCCTGTGCTGGTCTCCGTGCCCAAGGCCTTGTTCCAGCCCACACTCTCCACCAGCTGCCCCTTCCAGCGTGCCAGGGGGCGCACCTTCTGTCCATTACGGTTCACGTAGAGGACTTCAGTACTGCTCAGAGCAATCAGCAGATGAGAGCCTGGAGTGGGGGAAAGCATGGCACCTCTGAGGATGCTGCCATGCCCACCCTCAGCCTCCTCTGTGATAGTACCACCCTCAGATCCCACCCACCCAGGCAGTGACTTACCCTCAGCATCCCCTGGCCTCCATCTCAGAACTCTTACCACCACTTACCAGTATGGTCCAGGAACATCTTGTGAACTTTGGCATCATCCTTGCGCCCCAGCTCCATGTGGTTGGGTTCATTTGCTTTGCCCAAGTCAATGCTGTTGGGACAAGAGTCACAGCATCACTCTAGAGAAGGGCAGGTCCCTTTTTTGAATCACAGACCTTTTTATAATCTGATGAAAGGCATAGTCTTTCTTCCCTCAAATCTACATAGATACATAAAATTCTGAATGCAATCCCAAGGGAACTCTAAAACACATACAGGGTCCTACGTAAGATCCCTCGGTTCTAAGAACCTCCCCCAACCCCCAGCCCCTTTTGAGAAGTCACTAAGCATAAGTCTTTTCCTTCTGCTTAACACACCTCCAGTGCACCTAGGAAGACAGGCAGGGGTATCCCAGAATGCTAGGGTAAAAAGGGAATAACCAATAGTAGCTAATGGTTACTGAGCACTTTCTATATACCAAGCACCACACCAAGAGTTTAAGCTTAATCTCAATTAATCTTCACAATAACGTAGAGGGGGTGCTCCCTTAAAGTTATTTCCTATTTAAGGTATTTCCCTTATTAAATTCTTTTCAAATTATATGTGCATTCTAACTAAAAAATCAATGCAAAAGTGAATGAAGAAAAAGTTAATGATTTTCTTCCCAATCCCGTTATTCCCAACAGAGAAAATCGATGTTAACATCTTTCTCTATGTTCATGACATAAATAAGGTTATTTTGTTACTGTTTTTACAAAAATGTCTGCACATTATATATATGTGTGTGTACATGCATGCTAATTTATAGCTTGCTTTTTTTACTTAATGATTTTTCATGAACATTCTACCAGGTCAATAGATACAGCTCTAACTCATTGTTTTAGTAACTGCATAATATTCTTCGATGGCTGAACCATAAATTAATCATCTTCCTATTGATGGGCATTCACTTGGGTCATTTTTCATACAACAAATACTGCTGCAATCGGCATCCTTCTATCCATACCTTTGCAATCTGGTACTTTTCTTTCTACGTATGTATTCCCCAAAGAAAGTGGATTACTGGGTCAAAGTTATAGACATTTTAGAGTTTAACAGATTACTTTTCCAAAAGATGGTGGCAATTTATACTCTTACCAGCAACGTGTGAGAGTCCATCTCTGTGTATCTTCACCAGCACCACACATTATTACTGGTTTTAATTTTTGCTACTCTGATAGGTTAAAAAAAATGGTGTCTTACCGTTATTTTAATTTGCATTTCCCACAGGTTGAAAATATTTTCAGATGTTTACTGGAAATTTGGAGTTTCTGTTCTGTGAACTGCTTGTTTATATTGTTTGCCTTCCCTTTTCTACTGAATGGTCTTTTTCTTATTAATTTGTAAGGGCTTTTTAAGGAACAGGGATGTAAATCCTTAGTCATACGTGGAAAAACATTATTTTCCCACCATCTTTTCTCTTGACCTGACTCATATCCTTTTTTGTTTTTATTTTGTTGTAGCAGCAATTTCTTCATAGTCAAATGTATCTATCTTTTCCCTTGTGGATTCTAGATCTTCTAGCTTGAGTAAGACGGTCTCCCTTCAGCCCAAGAACATAGAAATGTATTAAATATTCTTTTAATATTCACATTTTTTAAATATTTCAATAATTATTCCACTTAGAATTCAGTTTTGCAGTACAGAGGTTTAGCTCTGTTTCATTCCAGATGGTCATTCCAGATAAACACTTTGCTGACTACCTTTGTCACAAATTATTTTCAACTACTTATGTATTTATTTACTTACTTCCAGTTTTATTGAGATATATTATTTTCATTTAAAATGGATTTATTCCAGGACTCTAGACAGTTCCAGTGATCTACGTGACTAACTTGTGGGTTGGTACCATCTTTAACAGATGAAGAGACATGTTCAGAGAGACTAGGCGACTCACTCAAGATTCATGGCTGGTAAGTGGGAGAACTGAGTTCTGAATCCAGGTCTACTATACTACATTGGTTCTCTTTGGGAAAGGAGAGAATATTTCCTGAAAATTCCAAATCCACTGTTTCACTTGCCCAGAGTGAAAGAGAGGCCCAGTCAGTCAGCGGTCCCCAAATATCACCAATCCACTCCCTACTCCTAAACCTTTTGGGTCCTCACTTACCGGAGAAGTGTATCCTTGCCCAGGCTCATGCAGAGCTGATTGCAGGAGACGACAAGACTGGTGATACGCTCGGAAGGGGTAAAGTCAATGCGCTGCTTCGTGAAGATGGGCACTTCCTTCTCTAGCTGGGCATTCACATACCCTAGGTGAGGAGTGAAGGAAAGGTTAGCTATGGAACAGAGGGAGAAAGGGAAAGGAGAGGCAACAAAAAAAGAATGCTCCTCTCCACCTTCCCAACATAGTCCTACCCTAGGACCTTGGTTAACCTTGGTCAGTATATCAAGGAGTTTGCTAATCACCTCTACATTAGTTCTGGGCTACATCAGGGGTTCTGGGCTCTTCCCACACCTCTGACAGGGGTGAGGAGTTGATTCTTTGAACCCTTGGGATGTTGTTACGCCATGATGTACTTGCTTCCAGTGGTAACAGGGGGAAAGGGTTGGTCATTCTCCCTTATCAGTCTTTGGCCTAGCAATTCCAGCTCAACTAAAGAAGTCTAATTCTACCCTCTTCTCTCCTCCCTGCCTATGAGGTAATACTCTCAGTGGGTCTCCAGAAGGATGAGGGCAGAGGGATCCCTGGGGAACCAGTCCAATCAGCTGGTTAACAAATTGATGGTGCTTTCTCTCTAGCCTTCACTCTCATTTCTTTACCATTGCTCGAAATATCCCAGCGCTTCAGATCCCTCTGCCAACTCTGTATTAGTTTCTACGAAAATTTCCCCTCAACACTCATCTGCACCCAGCTCTAGCAATGGCTTAAAATACTTCATTGTCCCCTGTTTACTGACAAAGTTCCCTCTAGGACCATCCCTCCTTCCCCTACAACATTCCCCTTTCACTAGTTTCTTTGCCCACTCTCTTCCTCTCACCCCCAGAAGGGGCCTGGTGGGAAAATCTGAATCAGATGAAGCCTGGAGCCTATTCTCAGTTTTCCCAGCTGAGGCCCTCTAAGCAAGTCACTTCCTTATCTGAGTCCCAGTTCCCTCTTAGAAGGACTCTAGTGGCAGGGCCTAGATCACGCGGCTACTCTTGCTGCCCTTTCAAACTTCGACCATCCACCAGCTGGGGGCCATGAGGGCCTGAGCAGAATCAAGGGCCTAGACCCGGACTGCACGTCCAGGAGGTGAACCCGAGCTCTTGGAGCCACTCTCTCCTTTCCTCCCCTGCAGGTGCTAAGAGAGATGAGAGGTGTAGCGGCGCTCTCACTTCCCTTACCCGAGTGAGGGATGCCCACGCTAGGGCAGCCGGGCTGCAAGACCGCCGAGCGCGACAGGGAGTCCTCGTATTCATCCAGGATAGACGCCATGGTGCCCGGCCTCTGGGTCTTCTGTCTCGGGCCCAGGGATTACAACAAGGCTTCCCCCAGGGATCCCCGTCTCCCCGGACTGGAAGCTGCGACTCCACAGCCTCGGCAGGGATCTGACAGATCCTGGCAATCCGCTGCCTCCTCCTCCTCCTCTTTAAAATCCTGAGGATCTTCTCGCTCTCGCCTTATAGAGCGAGCAGACTGGGGAGCATGACCCCTTGATTCTGGCGCAGTCCTGCACCCAACTCCCGCCCCCAAGAGATCAGACCGACTCCCTTTTGCCGATTCCAGGTGATCGCAACCTCGCCCGAGTAGCTCAGCTGACTCCCGCCCCCGGGACGCGCGCCTATAACGTAACTTCCGGGTTCTCAGAAGCCCGTTTGCTCGCGCAGGAACGTCGCGGGGCCAGCCCCTGGGAGGTGCGGTGAGGAGTGCGGGGGCGGGGCCAGGGAGGGGGAAGGGGCGGGGCCGAGGCCTCGTCGGCTCTCGAGAGGAGACGCCCCACACGCTTCCGAGCCGAAGAGCAGGGTGATGGACGGGCCCGCTGAACACAGGCCCCGCCCTCCTGCACCCTGCTGCAGTTCCGAGCTTTGACACTAGGAGGCAATCCCGGCTTTCTCAGCCCGCTTCCCGACCCGCCCAGCGCAATCTCGGAGCGGGTCCCTAGCACCTTGCATGCCCAGGCTTCCCTCCCTCAGAAGACCGCCCAGCCTCTCTGTCCAGCTCCCGCTCCCACCTTTCTAAACAGCCCTTTGCCCTAGGTCCTCAGGAACCTCCCATTCCTCAATCTAATCTCCATCTTTTCTTACCTTCACAAGGCACAGGTAAGCAGTCCTGGCCTCTCTTCTCCCACATCCAGGGTCCCACCAGTTCCCAGAAAGTGGCAGAGTTGGTGGTCTGGCCAGCAGGAAGCTGCTTGCTACCTAACCTGTCTCTACCCTTGTCCGTGGTGGCTCCTTGGTGTGGGAGGAGACAGGAGCAGCAGAAAAGACGAAGCACTGCTAAAGGGTACTGGGCTACTTACATTCATTCATTTAACAAAATGATGGTGAGCGCTTACTCTGTGCCTGGCCTTGGGCTAGGTGCTGGAGTCACAGAGGGAAGTACAACGCTGTCCTTGAAGGTCATAATCCAGCAGGGGCGATCGGCCAGTAAATAAGACAATTAATGCTAGAAAAATAATTGGTTTTGTTCAGAAGCTCACTCGTTCCACCGGTGAGCACAAATACACTGTGCCAGGCAGGCATTGTTCCAGGTTCTGGGGGCCCTGCAAAGAACAGAACGGACAAGTCTCTGCCTTCATGACAGGTACCCAGGGACATGGCCACAGCGCTGTGGGAGCACGAAGAAGCGGGGAACAAATACATGAAAAGCCTGGTAGGAACAAGGGACAAGTGACTTTGGAGGCGGGTGGGGAGTCCAAAGTGGCAGAACGGAGAGTTTGGGTGCGACTGCTATTGGGTTTCCCTCTTCCACAGCCTAGGCAACACAGACGGAGTCTGTTCCCTTCTGGGTCCATGAGCCTTGCTACTTTGCTAAAGTGGAAGGCTCTAGGCGAGGGTCATCACTGCCCTGACTTTAATGGGTAGCCCGTAGTTATGACTAAGAACACCCCCTTTACTCTCAAAAGCGTCAAGTGTGCACCATACATTGTGTGGTCCCGCTACTCTTGCCGAACTTCCCTGACAGGCACAGAGGGCTGGACCCTCACCAGCCCTCACCAAAGGCTCTCTGGGCCTGGAGTGGCCCCAGGCTTGATTATGTCCAACAGGTAGGCAGGTGGTTTCCGTCCTGGGAAAAATGATCCCAGCCAGGGAGCTGCCCTGCTCCGTACATATGGCTCCACCCCAGATCACCTGCCCTATACATTAGGGAAATACAAATAGGTCCAGACAAAGGTCAAATAACCAGAAAAGGTAAGTTTACTGACTACCAACGATGTGCCAAGCTCCACACTAAGTTCCT